ACGACGAGAGGGAGGTGACAGGGATGTCGGCGCCTACAGTAACCGTTTTCATCAGCAGCAGCCTCAACAGCTTCCGCTCTGAGAAGCGGTACAGTCGCAGCCTCACCATCGCGGAGTTCAAGGTGTGGCTGTGGGGGCGGGGCCCGGAGGGGCGGGAAGGGCCAGGAGGAAAAAAATCAGAGCCCCTCCAAAGGGTGGGGCAAGGGCGAGGGGGCGGAGCCTTGGAGGGTGGGGCCCGGTGGGACCTGGGTAGTGGGTCTTAAGAGCTGTGAGGGGCGGTGGTTCTTGGTACAAGGGGCGGAGCCTTAAGGAAGTGGGCGGGGCGCCAGGACCCTGTCCTCACTCTGCCCCATCCCTACAGTGTAAATTGGAGTTGGTGGTGGGCAGCCCTGCATCCTGCATGGAACTCGAGCTGTATGGAGTTGATGACAAGTTCTACAGCAAGCTGGATCAGGAGGATGCACTGCTGGGCTCCTACCCTGTAGACGACGGCTGCCGCATCCACGTGAGGCCTTCCTACCTGGGACCCCAGCCGCCAGTCATTTATTTATTTAATATTAATTGCTGTGCCTTGACCTGTGTGATAACCAAGATAGGCCATTTCCTTATGGAGGCCCCAATCCAAGGTTGACAGACAGACCCACCACTAGACAGTGACAGTTCAGAATGGTCTTGCTGAGATGGGAAAGCCCAGGAGATTAAAGGCACCCAGAAGAGGTGCTTGACTCAACCTTCCAGGTTAAGCAGAAAGGAGTTCCCAAGAAAGGGATGTCTGAGCTCACACCTGAAGGATGAGTAAAGGATGACCTAGCTGACCTAGAGGAAAGGTGGGAAAGGCATGCCAGAGTATACAGAGGCCTAGAACATGATGTGGGTTACGATGGGCAATGAGGCCGGAGACATTGGGAGAAGCCAGAACACAGAAGAAGATAGGTCCGTCCACATTATCTTTTCTGTCCTTGTCACCCCACACCCCCACTCATTTTCCACCAGCCTGCTCCTTAAACATCCCTGGTGAGGTCCATCCTAGGGCCTTTGCATGCATCATATCTTATACCTGAGTGTTGTTGTTACTGTTTTTAATGTGCTCAATGACTCACCCCTTATCAGTCTGAAAATATCACTTTCTGAGCGAAGCTTTCACCAACCTCATTGTAAATTATTAACCCCATCTCTTGCTCCTTTCTTGGTTTATTTTAGATTTATTTCCCTAGCTCTTATTATCCCTTGACATACTCTGGGTTTTTGTCTTTGCTCCAGTTAGTTGTCTGTCTCCCCCATTAGAGTTCCATGAGGGCAGAAATCTTCAGTCTAGGTCATTGCTGTGTCCTCAGCACCTGGAACAATGTCTGGCACAGAAAGGGTACTCTGAATCATTGTCAAGTGACAAGTTGAATACTTGAATTAAGGTGGCAGGCTGATTCCATGGCCTATTGGGTGAGGGAGCTGGAACCCATATGGCCATTTGTTGTTTAACTCTCGGTCCAAGCAGTGCGAAAAATACACCAAATGCATGTGCATGTGCCTGTGTGCCCAGAATCCCAACAGGGTGGAGAAAGGGAGGAACAGGGATGATCACATGACACACCCCACTGAGGTACTTTCTCCTCCCTATCTCTGTCTCTGTCTTTCTATCTCTCTCGGGCAAGCACATGCACCCTCTGGCAAGAAAAAAAAAAAGAAAAAAGACCGAAAAGGTGGTATAACTGTCCCTATTTTGTATAAGAGAAAACTTACTTCAGGGGCCAGCCTGTGGCATGGTGGTTAAGGCAGCTGGAATTCCACATGACCGACTGTGCAGTTCAAGTCCCAGACTCGATGGTTTGAAAAACATGCTGGGCATGTTCTACTTTCCTTACTTCTTCTCTCTCTGGCAAGCACATGCACTCTCTAGCAAATTTTTAAAAAGAAAGAAACAGCTTCAGAATTGAATGTAGTTTTGTTTTCTTTTTAAACTTTAATTTTTCCCATCGGTGGGGCACTCTTGACAGGAGGATCTCATCACACTATGTTTTCCTTCCTTCAGCTCTTTGGCTAGTCAGGATCTAGAGCACCTGGCATGTTTCAGATTGACTCAGGGTGTTTGTTTTGTTTTTTTTTAAGAGACAGAGAAACAGAAAGAAACAGAAAGAGAGAAACAGAAAGAGACAGAGAGACAGAAAACAAGAAATCACCCTCCGGAGAGTTGGCCATGCCACAATCCCTACTCCTCCATTCTCCTCTCAGGATCTTGGGCATGCACACACAAGCACCGGCATGAGTTTTTTAAGTTGCCAGGTCCAGGGCTTGAACCATGATCAACTACATGGGAGTCCAATGACGTAACCATTTCACCATCTGCCGGTCCCTTGACTCATGGTTTTAACCCGCGGTTGGCTCTGTGGCTTCCAGCCCTATAGCTCAGTACTCTATCAACTGCACCACCAGCCTCAGCAACAATTTCCTCCCTTCCTTCCTTCTCTTTCTCCCTCTCACTTTTTCTTTTTCTTTCTTCCTCCCAAGAGAAGAATGGAGGAGAAGGGATTGCAGCATTGCCATCCCCCCAGGGGATGATTTCTCACTTTCTGTCTCCCTGTGTCTCCAGCGAGTGCATGTATCCTATAGCAAAAATCTCTCTTTAAAAAAAAAAAAAATAGGGGCCGGCAGATGGCATGGTGGATTGGGACACTGGACTCCCCTCATGGCCAACCACGGTTCAAGTCTTGGACCTGGTGGCTTGCTTTCTCACTTCCTCTCTCTCTCTCTGTCTCTCTCTGATTAAACTGGAAAATAATAATGATCATAATAATAAATAAAGTTAAATAAAATAATTCTTAAAAAAAAAATAATAGAGGGGGCCAGCAGGTGGCAGGGTGGTTAAGGCGCTGGACTCCCGCATGGCTGGCTGCAGTTCAAGTCTCAGATCTGAGGCAGGAGGGAGCACAGTGGGGACAAGGTTCTTAAGAATGGCCATTCCTGTGGCAGAAGGACATGGAAACTGAGGAGGAATCTGATCCAGGAGATGAATACCTGTCTACCGTGGTCTGTTGTGTCTCTCACTTTCCCAGTGGCTTACTCCACCCCACCGTGCCAGTTTCACTGCTGCTCCTTCAGAAGGCCAAAGACATTTCTACCTCTTGCCCTTTGCACCTACTGTTCCTTCCTGTTCTTCAAGCTTTGCTTGAACATCACCTTCTTTGGGAAGACTGCTCTGACCACCCTTCCATGTTCCTTCAGCCTCTGTTGTTTTTTTTTTTTTTTTTTTTAAAGAAGCTTTTGCCTTAGGACCTGTGATGCACCAGAGAGAGAGAGACACAGAGTGAGAGGGAAAGTGAGAAATCACCCCTTGGGGGGCCGGCCACGTCCCAACCCCTTCTCCTCTGTTTTCCTCCTGTGATCTTGAGTACACATGCCTGGCATGAGTTTTGAGCCACTGAGTCCAGGACTTGAACCTTGGTCAGCCGTGTGAGAATCTAGCGACATAACTGCTATGCCATCTGCTGGCCGCACCCTGTTGTATTTTTCTCCATGTCCCTTGTCATCATCTGCTGTTTAATACATATCCCTGTTCATCTGTGGTCAGTCTCCTCCCACCAGAAGGAGCACTGCTCAGGGTAGGAGTTTGTATGTTTTTGTCTCATGTTCCCAGCACCCAGTGCAAAGCCGACAGGGCATCTTGGAAGAGCTCAGTAAATGACGGGGGAATGCACACTGGGATAGTACAGGAAGAGTCCCAGGGACTGGAGGTCGGCCAGCTTGGGAGAGTCCCAGCGGCCCAGAGAGCATAGATGTGCGGCCCGGAGGGCTATGAGCAAGGCCTGTACTCCGAGTTGAGTGCAGTAACTTTGGGACTGTCAGTGCCATTGATGCCAGTATGTGGGTACCAGCTGGGCAGATGCAGCCTCCAGGGGTTTGGATGAGGATGGGGGGGTAGGGGTTGGTGCGTAGATACTGATTCTTGCCCCCCTGCTGAGCTCAGGAGAGGAGAGAAGGCTGGGGTGAAGGTGGAGGTAGAGGAATGCATTTCTTTGTTTTTTGGAGAGGTTTTTGCTATAGGGCACATGTGCTCACCAGAAAGACAGAGAGACAGAAAGCAAGAAATCACCACCCAGGGAGGATGGCCATGCTGCAATCCCTTCTCCTCCATTCTCCTCTCAGGATTTTGGGCACGCACGCACATGCACCCGGTGTGAGTTTAAGCCACCGGGTCCAGGACTTGAACCACGGTTGACTACGTGAGAGTCCAGCGACATAGCCATTACGCCAACTGCTGGTCCTAGAGGAATGCGTTTCTTAAAGAATTATTTTATTGAACTTTATTTATTTATTCATTTATTTTAATTTGACCAGAGAGGGTTAGAGTGAGAAAGAGAAGGAAAGTGAGAAAGTAAGCCGCCAGGTCCGGGACTCAAACCATAGTCAGCCATGTGGGAGTCCAGCTTCCTTAACTACCACACTACCTGCTGACCGTAAGGAATGCGTTTTTGTCCCACACAGGAGAGCCTTAAGTCTGCAGATGTACCCCAGCACCCCAGGCTTCCCTGACCAGACCCTCCTTCTCCTCACCATAGGTCATTGACCACAGTGGTGCCCGCCTTGGGGAGTATGAAGACGTATCCAAGGTGGAGAAATACAAGCTCTCACAAGAAGCCTATGACCAGAGGCAAGGTACGGCATATGGGTGTGGGCAGGGCACGTGAGGCTCGGGGGTATGTGCACAGGTAGGTGGAGGTGCCGACAGATTGGCAGGAGGGCTCGGGGGGATGGAGAGGGTTGGGGTGAGATTGGTGCTGGGGCCAGATGGTGGCACCAGAAAGCAGTTGGGGTAGTGGGGCATGGGGTGGAAATGGAGGCTGGGAGGTGTACCAAGGTGTGGTCAGGCAGGTGGGGTTGGGAAAGCAGAGGGGCTGGAGAGGAAGGGGCGGGGAGTTAGTTGTTGGGGGAGCAGAGTCAGAAGGAGATATGGGTGAGCAGC